TTAAAAGGGTCTGGGGTTGCTGATCTCCCTAATAACTTTGCATTCAGCGCTCTGGTGGAGGAAGTTACAATGCAGGAAAAGCTACTGGAAGGTCAAGGGTCAGAGATCAAATGTCAAAACTGTGATGAGGAGAATCAGGCTATTTCAAGATGCATGGACTGTGATCATTTCCTCTGTCAAGAAGCAGAGCAACCACCAAGACCTGCAAGATCATGTGTGAAGGAGAAATGGGAACTGAAGAGAGAAGTCAAGAATTTTGAATTAAGAAATGCACTCATAGCACATGTTGCAGCACTCTCTAACAATAAAATACTTGCACTATCTAGAAAATTAAATGGAAACAGTGATGCACTATTCACAGTTTCATTTCTATATAGTCATCAGAAACAATCTCCTATCACACAAAGGCTACAAATGAATGGCCTTGCTGATGTAAGATGTATTGCAGTGAGCAAGGATGACAAGCTCCTTGTTCTAGATGGTCCAGTTGTTAAGGTCTTCAACAAGCAACATCAGCTTCTCCATCAATTCACACCAGGTAGAGGGTCAGACAGCATACCAACATGCCTTGCAGTGGATGACAGCAATCTGATAGCAGTGGCTGATGAAGACAAGGATGAGATATCTCTACACAACCCAGATGGATCTATCATCAGGAGACTGCCTGCTCCAATGATTGAGAATTATCTAACAATGCACAATCATCGCCTTATCTACACAAACTTGCCTAAGCAAAGGTTGGTATGTGTAGACTACTATGGTGCCAGTGTATTCTCAGTAGAAGTGTCCAGCAACTTGCATGGGGATGGGTTGCCTTCTGGTGTGTGCTGCGACAGTGATGGCAGCATCTATATTGCTGTGAGCAGATATCCAACAGGTGATATTCTGCATTACAGTCCTGATGGCAAGTACATTGGATGTGTGATCAAGGGATGTGGTTATTCACCTGGCATTACATTCACATCAGGTGGTGATCTGGTAGTGGTTGTAGAAAAGTCTGTAAAGGTCTATCACCGAGTGTAAGGACAGATTAATTAAGCTGGGGCTATCCAGCGTATTCACCAACCACTTCCATCAGATATTGAACATTGTTCTGAAAAATAACTTTGAAGTTCATTCCCTCAAATAACATTCATAATACTGTAGCGGTACTGCCTCGGACGACTGCCCCGGCGAGTAGCCTCAACGGTCGGGTACGCAGATCTGTTTCGGCGGAGATTTACCGCCAGGCCCGCAGCAGACTACCAAAACAACACCCTTTCACGCACTCACTCCACTCACTGGGCTGCCAGATATCTCGGGGAAGGAATGGGACACTGGACACGGATTTGCGCCTACCCTTAGCTTTGGTGATTTATTCCTCATTCCAGTTCCAGCCTACCTAGGTGCTTCGCCTACGTGATCTTATACTAAATCACTTGCCTTACAAACTCAGAGATTACTTAATTATCTGGATTATGATGCAGGATTCATTTATCAATTACACTCACACAAAGTTGGAGGCTCCCTCCACTGTGACTATAGATGATTGGTTATTGGTTAATTGTGGAAGATCAGAACTGTGCAAGTACCCTTCCCAAGACCGCGCTCGGGTTACGGCCACAGCAGAAAGAGAGCGAAGCTGAGTGCGCGGCTGCTTATATACACTGGCGCTATTGAATGGTGCCCCCATAAACCTGGGTGAGTGCATGCGCACCTCGCTGGCTACCAGTAAAGAACTAAAGTGCGCCCTCTATAAAATGTATTGCGCTACAATACTGTATATCTGGTTGATTCCTAAGGTCTTTGGTGTCTGTACGTGTTGACTCTAATAATTTAAGCCTATATATACGTCCTATAAAATCCTAGATCTGGTGGCCCAATAATGAGAGCAAAGGAATGACCCTTCACATTGTTTGCAAATAGCGCAGTGCACATTTTTAAAGTATTACAAATGAGAAGGAAAGTATTATCAATGAGATGGAAAGTATTACCACAAAAGGCAATTTAGTTCAATTTTCTCAGATTCGTCTCAGCAAATACAAAGTCAATGCATGATGTGTTTTCCAAGTATAAGATATAACCCTACTCCTGTGTAAAATGTAAACATTTCCTTAAATTTTGTTATTCGATTTTTCAATTATTGGAAAAATTGTTGAGATTAAATGAATAAAACTTATTTTTGAAAGAGCAAGATTTTGCACCTCCGTGAACATGAGACAAAAGTAAATACTCAAAAGCAACTGGATGACATATGTGTGATTTTGAACTAAAGCAATAGTTCAAAAGTAAATCGTATGCAATCCCTTGGTTGTCTCTTTCACCAAACTACCGTACTGCATCATCAAACTGCCTCATCAAACTACTATAAGTTTCATTACATTTACAACCAAGTTGAAAATGAAAACCTTGTGCATTCTTACAATGACACATGGATGTGGTTAGTGTACATTTGTAAATTGAAATCTTGTTTGTTGCCTTTCTTAAATGTGAGTTTATTGAAAACGACAAAATAATATGAATGTGGAATATTCTATAAATTTGGGGTCCACTTTTTCTTGTCCCTATATACGTCTGGCATCTAAGATTTTGTAATTGAAGATGCACTCCTTTATGTGTGTACTCTTCCTCCAAGAATGCTTCTGTGAATCAAATGACCCACCCAACAAATATTAATTAGTTTGAAGTCATTTTTAATGCCACTTGAATGGCAAATTATACATTTCGGAGGTTACAGGGACAGGAAAAATGTCCGACATTGGACCCTAAATGTATAGAATGACCTACTTGTGAGAGGTTCCATATCATTACAGTAATAGTTTAGTTTATTCCATAAATGATTGAGGCTTTTGCTTCTTTGAATGGGTATTGGTTTGCTACATGGTGACAGACCAAGTAGTCTAAATAAAGCAATGAGCATTTGCTTTAATTACAGAATATCTCTCCAAGAGAACACAGCTTCTATGACAACAATGGCAAATATCCAAAGTCTGTTATTTTACCAATCAGCATCTGACGTACATTTCAGCTGCATTTTCCACTGGGCATGTATGACTCCTAGGGTTATTTGCATACATAATGAGGGCTGCCTATTTTACACCGATTATGCGACTCAAAAAGATATCTTTGTATTTTATCATTTATAGACCACTTAATTTGGAAGCCGTTGTTATTGTATCACTAGTTAGTTCATTCACTGTATATTTTGTCAAAGACATTTTTAAAAACGTTTTCTGAGAACATAGCAAAAATGATTTCATGGAACAACCGTCTTTTCTCAGTTGTCGTTTGTTTACATTTAGGACCATTTTGTTTTCGACAAACAACATAATTTCAGAGGTTTCCCCAACATTCATACTTGTACATAACGGTGGAGGGGATTATCAAGTAATCAGATTTGTGAACACATTTTCACTTGATGTCTTTTATCTTTTGATTGACCGCATTTGTATATTGTCCAAATACTCTCAAATATTGAGTAAGTAACTACGATCTAAGAAAACTAGTCAGCTTTGTTGATGTCTGGTACCACGTATCGCGAGCAAAAAAATAAACATTGAAACAACACTGTTTGGTCAGCTTTTAAAAGTGCTCATTTTTTCAAAACAAAAAAATGTAGCCAAAAGAAATCTATTGTATGTTAAAGATTGCCTCGTGGGGTTTCACGTTAAGTATTTTATTGCCCGTGAAAAATTCAAATGTCATGAAAAAAGCCAAACTCAGAATTGTTTTGGATCTTGGCAACCGCTTGTGACAAGGGAAAAACCACCACTTTTTTACCCAAAATGAATTGCTAACAATAGCATTTGTAGGGCAAGCTTAATACAAACGAAATGTTAAAAGTAAATATTTCTTTACATTACGCATGTCAAACAGTTGACAAGACACCTGACATCTAACAAGAGGAAGCCCCTGGATGCCAGGGCCGACATAGTATGGTTGCTGAGGGCGCAGTCAAGTTCCCGCTGCAACTATAGATAAATTATCAATATCACACATTCTATGGGAGTGAAACGTACGTGATCTGGAACTTTCTAAAGGTACCAGCAGCGATACTAGGGTTAAGCTTCTGGGGAGGCACCTGGCGGTTCACTGAAGGTAACTAGTTTGTTGATTGCAATTCAAGATTTCAATGGGGGGGGGGGGGGGGGGGGTGGGAGACACATGCCCCATAGTTACACTTTTAAAAAGTAAACAGAAATAAGGAATTCAAACATCATATCAGGTTTAACAGTCCCTTACATATTTACAATTAAACTAGTTACGAACCAATAAAGGTTTGAATGGTATCAACCCCATTTAATTGCCTAATGTTGCAGTCCACTCTTTTCTGAATAAATTGAAATACAAAATGGTTTTGTAGGAATGAACCCTGAACACTAGTCTGAGTATCACCCATTGTATCACCCTCTCTGTCTCTGGCCCAACGTCTGATATGTCTACGCATGCAAATTAATGCGACCCCGCGCGCCAGCCATGAGTCGACATGACATCATTTCATTCTCAAATCTGGACGTAGCTGTTCATTGGTCAATTTTGATGCCATATTTTTGTAATACAGCAACGGACATAGAGATCCAATAAAACCCGACATTGGGTTTTAATACTGTTAAGTGGGCATTCACATTATGCGGTTTATTTCAAATATTATGTGATGATCATTCGAAGTCACAGAACGTCTTGACACAGGCTGTTTTTTTTTTTACACAATTTATAACATAAAAGTATAGTCGTGTTATTAGATGTACATGACAAAACCAAAGACCCGATATAGAAGGTACCCACTGATGAATGGTCAGAATCTCGAGGTCAAGATGCAGTCTTGTTTTGCATAATAATCACCAAATCTCTCTTGCTGTGCAAGGAGATATTACATAAACTACCTTAGCACCTATTAATCCTACAATTTAGAACAATTCACAATGCAGTGTGAGTATGCCAACAGGTGTTTGCCTCAAGAGGCCACTTTCCAACTTAACAGTCTTTTGAAAAGTATACTAACTTCTACAAAATGAACTTACCTGTACATGGAAGTACATTGGGGAATCTGTTCTTGTTTTTGCAGACAGGTTTCTTGGCTTCCTCACAGTTGACTGCCGCTGACATTTCATTTAGCACCTGAAGTTTAAAGTAAACAAATTGACAACACGTTACAATACTTTTTCTCTTTCTAGCTCGGACTTCAATTACAATTGACAATTGTTGACTAATGTGATGTGGGAGCAGTGGTGTATCCAGAGGGGAGGGGGCAGGGGAGGGGGGCAGGGGAGGGGATGGTGGGCACCTTGTCCCCAACCCCCAGCAGCTTTTTTGAAAGATATTTTTTCAGCAACTATTTCCATAAATGGTTAGAGAGTTCTGAGTTACGGAGGCCAAGTGTTCGGGGATGTGTGAGTACAGTTGCCCTCCTGACATCAAATGCTGGACACGCCACTGTGTGGGATATGTCGTATTTAACACCCAAGGGCTGCATTTGGCCTCGGGTGCTATGTACATGTATGGCCAACACATTACACACTGGGGCACAGGCTGCATTTTGCAGTCCATGTGCAGTACACACATCACCCATAATGAACTCACTTTCGATGCGAGAAACCTTTAAAAGGATTATTTACATGTTTTTGTTTACTTTGAAGGTTGACACCAAAAGAAACAATGCTTCTTTGGGAAAATCTGTTACTTTAAAAGCATTTTTGAAAAACTTAACCTAAGTCATCACAAATATCTCATATTGCGATCCCATATCAAATGTCTGAATTGTAATTATTCATGCACAGTATAGACACTGTTCACAGTCTTCAAATAATCATGAAAAGGAATATTACGTGTATAAGACACCATACATTATGCTGTATTTAGGTTTAAACATTTTCAAATGGGACTGACAGGAATAACTAACTTGTATGTTCTGTACAGTGTCATGCATACATTTGCATACATTCCCTTTGCTACAGAAATTTTATCCAAATGTACAAACATGTACATGTAGGCCTACAGTTCAACATATTACATATGTGTTAAATTCACGTTTCCGCTTCAGTGTAACACAGTGACTGGAACAGGCCCTTGGTAAATCTATTGTTACCAGAAACTGGGCCTTTGAAGGGGTTCAGAAAATAACAATACCTGTTGACTAGGCAATGCAAGTTCAACTGTGTGACCTGTGATCCATTGCAGTCTGGTGTATTTATAGAATTGGGAATTTACAGGCATTGAGCAATGCCACACCCTACAGACGTTCAAGTCAATCCAGAGAGTGAGAATCCACCAAATAGTCCACCAGTTTCTTCATCAAAACTGCCAAATTGATTGCAGAAATATCTTCTGACATCATTCAGGTATGTTTAGTTGAGAATTAAGCTTGACAAATGTAACCACAATTGGCATAGGAATCTATGCAGACATTTGACTACCATGTACTTCAGTTTCCTTCTCTGATGCACCATGAGCAGTGTGTTAAACCAGTCTGAAGAAGTTCTAAAAGCACAAAATGAGAAATCTGAATTGATGCACACCTACCAACTACATCCGGTACCGATAGATTAGTCCTATTTTTCAGTTCATATATGTCAACAAGTTAAACTTTAGGCCATTTTTTGGATTACAGATCCGCTGATTTGTTTTCCTTTTTTAAAGTTCTCTGCCAAATGAAAAAAAAAAAACCAATCATTGTTTGGCCAATTTTTAAGTTCATATTTCAGCCAAACGTGATAGAATGCATTGGCATTGTTAAAAAAAAATAAGAGTATGAAATTGACCATTTCCAATATCACCACACAGCCTAAAAAGTGTCAATGTCTCCAATTCTCCGGCCACACCAGGGCGTAACTGGGGTGAAACATCTGGGGGCACCCGAGGGTGCAAACATTTTTTTAACGGGGGCACTGAAAGTTATTAAACTGCAGCTTGCCTTTTTCAGTTTGGACCGATAGAGGCCTATATGGACGTAAATGCTATAGCTGTTGAAACACAAACCACAGGGAATAAACTACATCTTACCAATAATAACTAAAACAACTGGATTATTCTGTTTTTGTGGAGCCGTTTATTTAGGAGTTAGGGGGTCCGCCATTTTGAACATACAGATACAACATAGTTTGCACTCCAGCATTATAATTATGTCCAATTCCCAATGAGCATGTGCTGGAGTTACTCAAGCTATCTCTAACTAACGTTATTTATACAACACCTGAATAAATCCCAGTCATCTGATTGGTGGTTCTTTGATCACATGTCATTACATTATTCATACCAATGCACAGCGCAATGGAAGTTCTATTGCACTGTGAATAGAACTTCCATTGCACGGTGTCACTGCTGCTTGTGGCGGCGCTGTTTTAAATCGAGATAAATTGAATATGAGTGTTCTTAACCTGTTGAACAGTTTGCATTAAAATAAATATCATCAACTTATGGAACTTTTAAACAGTTTTTAACCTGAATAAATTGGCTATTAAAAGTCAACCAATCAGATGACAAGGAATTATTCAGGTGTTAAATAAAACAAATAATGAATGTTTCACGTTCGTGCAATGGAAAGAATAATTTAATTCGGTGACGGATGAAATGTTCCTTTCCACGAGGCGAAGCATGAAATTATTCTTACCATTGCACTCACAAACATTCATTATTTGTATAATATTAGTTTTGTACGACTGAAACAGTGGATTTTGTTCTCAATAAAGGCCTACTTAGAGCCGGGCCAGTAACTACCTCAAATAGCACACTCCCAAGAATGAATGTATAAATGAAATTATGAACAGCTACAAAAATCAGCTTATATAATTATGATGAACATGCTCACAGGGAGGAAATTTCTCGTGAATACCCGCTCAGTAGTATGGCATTCATTGTTTCAAAACGTACAAATAACCGGCAAAATCGATGTGTTCCTGAAATTTACAGTGCATGCACTCGACAATATACAACCATGCGCAATCATTGCGGACATAGTTTGCCGCACAGTTTTGGCATGACAAAAGTGTAAATACATTGGCGTACGCGTACTAATACAGGTTGATACATTACTTGCCTTTAGGTATGAACACCAGTCCAAGAGCCCATTTCGACAGAGCGGTGTATAATTTTTTTTTTCATTTCAAGATTTTAAATGGGGGGGGGGGGGGGGGCACAACCCAGGGGGCACGGACATCCGCTGGGGGGGGGGGGGGGCAGGGGCATGTGTGACCAAGTTACGTCACTTGGTCACACATTGTCTGCATTTTGCTAGAGATACAGCAGGCATATGGGCAACTTTCAAGGCTAGCAATACGGCTTAAAACTGTGCATGGTACAGTGGATAGTGTGTTTATCCTGTTCACAACCTGTTCAAGAATGGACAACTTTTGTATATTTTTCTCTTCATATTTTTTGGTTCAAGAATAAACATTTTATTTGTACAATTTGTGCCAAAAACGATTTTTTGAGAAGAAACATGAGTTTGAATTTCACTATCAAGTTTGATTTTACCGGTTTGCACAGGGGCAGGTTTGTAACCTATGAATGCTTATTACAACCATATCATCATTTGCAGTTTGAATACATGTAAATCCTAAAGCTTTTAAATAATGTGCTTTATTTTCAGGTTAAAGGTCCATCATATCGCACCAAGCCCAACAGTGAAGATGGCATCTAATGTTACAGCCCAGTCAGTGTTGGAGAAGATTAGTGTGGATCATCTGGAATGCTCCATCTGCACCAACCGTTTCAGGCAGCCCAAACTGCTGGACTGTTTGCATAGTTTTTGCCTGCAATGCCTTCAAGAGCTCAGACAGAGCCAAGATCCTAGTGGTACAAAGCTGACATGTCCTCTGTGTAGACGTGAAACCATGTTGAAAGTGTCTGGGGTTGCTGATCTCCCTAATAACTTTGCATTCAGTGCCCTGGTGGAGGAAGTTACAATGCAGGAAAAGCTACTGGAAGGTCAAGGGTCAGACATCAAATGTCAAAATTGTGATGAGGAGAATCAGGCTATTTCAAGATGCATGGACTGTGATCATTTCCTCTGTCCAGAATGTCAAAAGGCTCATGGACGTATGACTGTTATGAAATCTCATAAAATCTACACACTGGCTCAACTTCAATCAGGAAAAATTGTCTATAAAAGTAAACTAAGAGATGAAGTTCCAAAATGTTGCAAGCATCCAGATCAGAATCTCAATGTCTACTGCAACTCATGTGAGCAAATCATATGCACAACTTGCTCTGTACTTGATCATGCAAAACACTCACTCACTGAATTAGCTGAGGCCGCAGAAAAATGTAAGAAGAAGGTCACAGAAATGGTCCAAAAAAGTGAGAGAAGGAAAACACAATTGAGCACCACCATCGAGGAGACATGCAAATTTCGCAATGAGCTGGACACCATGTTTGCCAACTCCAAAAAGAAACTCTCCAAAAAGGCTCAACAGGAGATTACAAAGGTCAAACAGGAGGTTGCAAAGATCCAAAAGGAAGAACACAAATTGATGAAAGAGATGGACAGGATTTATCAAGAAAGAGTAACAACGTTTGAAGCTGCTCAAGCTAAGAACAAGAAAGAGGTAACACAGACACAGCACAAGCTGGAGGAGGTGAAACAACTCATGAATCAAGCAAGTTGCTATGAGATTCTTGAACTTCAACAGAAGCTCTTGCATAACCTCAGTGAATTGACAGGGAAACAGCCACAGCAAGTTCCTGACAAGTTGACCTTCATGGACTTTGAAGAAGGTGAGAGGTCACTTGGGAGACTCATTCTGGAGAAAGAGCCAAAGGCTACAGCAAAGCAATCACCAAGACCTGCAAGATCATGTGTGAAGGACAAATGGAAACTGAGGACTGAAATCAAATTAATATATTCAATTGCAACACAGGCTGCAGCATGCTCTAACAATAAAATACTTGTTTTAGACGATTGGAATGATGAACTTTTCACAGTTTCACTACCTCCTATCCCACAAAGGCTACAGATCAATGATTTCACTGATGATGTAAGGTGTATTGCAGTGAGCAAGGATGACAAGCTCCATGTTCTAGATGGTCCAGTAGTCAAGATCTGCAACAAGCAACATCAGCTCCTCCATCAGTTCACACCAGGTAGAGGGTCAGACAGCCAACCAACATGCATTGCAGTGGATGACAGCAATCTGATAGCAGTGGGTTATGAAGGCAAGAAGGAGATATCTCTACACAACCCAGATGGATCCCTCATCAGGAGACTGTCTGCTCCAATGATTAGAGGTTATCTGACAATGTACAATCACCGCCTTATCTACACAAACAGGCCTAACACAAGGTTGGTATGTGTAGACTACTATGGTGCCAGTGTATTCTCAGTAGACATGACCAGCAACATGCAGGAGGATGGGGACCCAACTGGTGTGTGCTGTGACAGTGATGGCAGCATCTATGTTGCTGTGAATGGATATCAAACAGGTGACATTCTGCATTACAGTCCTGATGGCAAGTACATTGGATGTGCGATCAAGGGATGTGATGATCCACGTGGCATCACATTCACATCAAGTGGTGATCTGGTAGTGGCTGCAGGAGAGTCTGTACAGGTCTATCACCGAGTGTAAGGACAGAATTAATTAACCTGGGGCTATCCAGCGTATCCACAAAACACTTCCATCAGACATCGAACATTGTTCTGAAAAAGAACATTAAAGTTCATTCCCTCAATAAAACATTCAATAATACTGTATATTTGGTTTATTTCTAAGGTCTTTGGTGCTTGTATGTGTTGACTATTATACTTTAAGCCTACTTCCTATAAAATCCTAGATCTGGTGGCCCAATAATGAGAGCAAAGGAAGTACATTTTGAAAGTATTATCAATGAGAGGGAAGGTATTACCACAAAAGGCAATTTAGTTCAATTTTCTCAGATTTGTCTCAGCAAATACGAAGTCAATGCATGATTTGTTTTCCAAGTATAAAATATAACCCTACTCCTGTAAAAAATGTAAATATTTCCTTAAATTTTGTTTTTCGATTTTTCAATTATTGGGAAAATTGTTGAGTTTAAATTAATGCAACTTATTTTTGAATGAAAAAGATTTTGCACCTCCATGTACTCAAAAGCAACTGAATGAAATATGTGTGCGATTTTGAACTCAAGCGACAGTTTCAAAGTAAATCATTTGCAATCCCTTGGTTGTCTCTTTCACAGTGCTTTCTGAGTGCATCATCAAACTAATATTAGTTTCATTGCATTTACAACCAAGTTGAAAATGAAAACCTTGTATATTCTACTGCAATGATGCATGGATGTATGTAATGTGAATAATATAATGGACGTACATTTTTGTTCTGAAATCTTGGTTGTTTGCCTTTCTTAATTAAATTTTTGTAAAATACTGCAATAGAAGATGTACATTATATGAATTTGGGGTCCACTTTTTCCTGTCCTTTTACCTCTTGCATCTACAATTTTGTAATTGAAGATGCACTCCTTTATGTGTGTACTCTTTTTCCAAGAATGCGTCTGTGAATCAAATGACCTACCCAACAAATATTCATTAGTTTAAAGTAATTTTTGATGGCACTTGAATGGCAAATTATACATTTCTGAGGTTACAGGGACAAGAAAAATGACCGACTTTGGACCCTAAATGTATAGAATGACCTACTTGTGAGAGGTTCCGTATCATTACAATTATAGTTTAGTTTATTCCATAAATGATTGAGGCTTTTGCTTCTTTGAATAAGTATTGGTTTGCTACATGCTGATAGACCAAGTAGTCTAAATGAAGCAATGAGCATTTGCTTTAATTACAGAATATCTCTCCTAGAGAACGCAGCTTCCATGACAACAATGGCATTTCAGCAAAGATCCAAAGTCTGTTATTTTACCAATCAGCATCTTACATACGTTTCAGCTGCATTTTCCACTGGGCATGTGTGACTCCTAGGGTTATTTGCGTATGTAATGAAGTCTGCCTATTTTACATCGATGATGCGACTCAAAAGTATATATTTGTATTTTATCATTTATAGACCACTTAATTTGGAAGCTGTTGTTATTGTATCACTAGTTAGTTCATTCAATGTATATTTTGTCAAAGACATTTAAAAAAAAGTTTTCTGAGAACACAGCAACAGTGATTTCATGAAACAACCATCTTTTCTCAGTTGTCGTTTGTTTACATTTAGGACCATTTTGTTTTTGACAAAAACATAATATCAGTGGTTTCCCCAACATTTATACTTGTACATAATGGTAGAGGGGATTATCAAGTAATCAGATTTGTGAACAGATTTTCCCTTGATTTTTTATCTCCTGATTTACCGCATTTGGATATTGTCTAAATGCTCTCAAAATATATTGAGTATGTAACTATGATCTTAGAAAATTAGTCAGGCTTGTTGGGGTCTAGTACCATGTATTGTGAGCACAAAAAACAAACACTACAACACTGTTTAGTCAGCTTGAAAATTCTTCTTTTTTATCAAAAAAAAAATGTACTAAAAGAAATCTTTTGTATGTTAAAGATCGCCCCATGGGGTTTTATGTTCAGTATTTTATTGTCCTGTGAAAACTTCAAATGTTTAGAAATCCTAAGCGAAAAAGTGACACATGAATGATCAAAATTTGTTGGCACCTTAGCAACCACTTTACAAGGGAAAAATCAGAGCATGGAATTGTTTTTCCAAACTGAATGTCTAGCAATAGCATTTTTAGGGCATGCTTATACAAACAATATTAAAAGTAAATATTTCTTTAAATTATGGGCGTAAAGACAGTTAAACTTGACATCTAAAAGTGGAAGAACTGATATTGTATGGTTGCCGAGGGTGCAGTTCATTGGTCAATTTTGATGCCATGCTTTTGTAATACAACAAACGCGCATCACGTAACACATCGCTACAGGCCGTGTGACAGAGCCTATTTTTGCTGACACAATTCACAATGTAAAAGCATAATGGATGTTGTCTCTAGGTTTCATTAGATGTACATGAAAACAGGTTACCACAGACCCGACATAGAAGGCGCCCGCTGAACGGTCTCGAGGTCAAGACACAGACTTGTTTTGCAAAGTAATCGCCGAATCTGCTCGCATATCATGGACTCTTGCTGCATACGGGGATATTCCATAGACTACCTTAGCACCCATCCCGCCTACAATTAAGAGCGATTCACAATGCAGTGCAAGTGTGCTAACAAGTGTTTGCCTCAAGAGGCCACTTTTCAACTTAACAATCTTTTGAAATGTATATCAACTTCTACAAAATGAACTTACCTGTACATGGAAGTACATTGGGGAATCTGTTCTTGTTTTTGCAGACAGGTTTCTTGGCTTCCTCACAGTTGACTGCCACTGACATTTCATATAGCACCTACATTTCACAGTGAACAAATTGACAGACAACACACATTACATTGCTTGTTCTCTCTCTAGCTCGGACTTCAATTACGAATCAAGTTATCTCTTGCTGACTGAATTGTTCGCGTATTCATTCTTCAGCAAGTGCACGGACAACATAGCCATACACCAGTATGGCAGAAATATAAAACCTAGTCTGTGACTCGGATTTGAGTTTGACTTGAGTTGCAAGTTACAATGGCTGATGACTCAAACTCGGCTCTCATGACTCAACTCATGACTCAGACTAGACATCAGGGACATGTCACTGGTGAGTCACATTTCACTGACTCAACAAAACATTTTTGGCAAAAACTGTTTGGTAATACATTTAGCTATTGCTGATCGAGTGCAAAATTTGGTTTGTTGTTGGTAACAATTGGTTGAAATAAATCCCTTGTATTTTGATACATTCTGCTTTGCAGATACGAAAATGGGAAGATGTGATGACCTCACTTGATATTCTATAGACTACAGAAATTCATGCAATTTTTGTTGAGACTTTCAACGTTGTGAGTTCTCCAAATATCACCGAGCCAAACTTTTACCCAAAAGTCAGCTTGAATTCCTCCACAGGGTCTTGCTTGTCTATCTGTTCTTGCAGTGTGGTAATGGTGTTCGGTAGTGACTGACCCAATAAGCACCAACCTTAGCCGGTCTGGTGGGCGTCATGTGTCACATCTCAGCGTCGCTGACCACGCAGTCTTGGTCCTTCTAGAAAGGATGTTGGTGTCAGAACCCCAGGAGCTAGAATCGTCGTCCCCATGGGCCTGGGACCTGGGGGAGAAGGGAGGGGGAGAATACAACATCAAATTTTACTAATAAAATACTGTAAAAAAAGTCAACCATGTTTATTTTTGTTAACAGTTTTGCACATATATTTCACGCTGTGCCAATGTTTAAACAACAGCCAACATTATCAGGCTGCTGCTGACAATGCCAAGAAATCATTTTACATTCTCCTGGATCAGAATCTCCTTGTCATTCCTCTGTTGGATAAAATCATCCTCCTTGGCGACTTCATATAGGGATCTTGTATAGGGACCACATACACAGTCTGGAGTGGCATCATCAACAAGCATGTAAATTGAATGTGTGATGGCACTACATTCACATCAGGTGGTGATCTGGTAGTGGCTGCAGAACAGTCTGTACAGATCTATCACCGAGTGTGAGGACAGCATATTTACACCAAGGGAATATGGTATAGAAAAGGAATGTTGCCTATGTCTGTTAAATGAACAGAACACAGGCTTTTCTGCACTTTAAAAAAATGTGTGTATATATTAAAGTAATTTTCTGTATTGCTGATCGATGTCATGCGCCACACAAATTTCTCTGAATTTTATCATCTGCCAAAAAAGAAGTTATCTTTAAAATATATATTGATTTCTTCAAGCGGAAAAGCAAAAATCAGCAACAAAGCAATCAGTGATACTCATGCATGCTTTGTTCAATTTAAAATTCTCCAGCGGTTATCAAAACTATCCAAACCTCTTTTCATATCACAGACAGAACTGAAATTGGGAAATATAGTTATCCCCTGCATATCATGTGCGAAGCTCACATCTAAATGTATTTCTTTAGTTGCTGGTAACTAAAGAGTTTTGTGGTAAGTACTTGGTTTCTAGTAAGAATTTCTTTGCCAATACTGTTAGCACAGACTGTAAACATCAGCATAGACTTCAGTGACTATAGTTGCCAGTGACATCAATTTGTGGGTCGTGATCTTGGAAGACAGGTCAAATCCTTTTGTACAATTGGACATAATCCAGTGTTATAGGACTGGAGTCCAAGAGTCAGACTCGAGTCATATTTTTCAAGACTCGGACTCGACTCGCCAGTCACAATGGAAAATGACTCGGACTCGGACTCGACCATGATGACTCGGACTCGAGCTTGGTGATGCGTGACTCGAGTCACACATTTTCATCAAAAGAAAACAAAACATAGGGATTGGAAAAGATCATTGAGGAATAATGTTTGGATGATAAAACATGGAGGGAAGGGAAGGAGAAGGGGTTTTTAGGGATGGGAATTAAAAGGAAAACACATATTGGGTCTAAACAACATGTATACACAAGGTAAACTGTACATGTATACACTGGGATTTACTTAAACGACAGAATGGATGATTGAAAAATAATTTTAAAAAAATGTGATTAGTTTCGTGAACAACTAAGAACAAGTGACTCGAGACTCGGACTCGGACTGGGACTCGAGGCTTGTGACTCGAGACTCAAGGCTTTTGACTCAGGACTCGGACTCGATGTTGGTGACTGGACTACAACACTGACATAATCTACTTATAACCACTGATGCCTGACACTGTCTTGCTATTCATGGCAGGCAGTGGGTATTGGTAATATCTACTTTTTTGTATATTCTTTGCCGACTGTTCTGAAAATACATGTTTTTAGTTTGGAATGCTGGAGCATTATATAAATAAATTTCTATGTCAGAAAATGTTTTTTTGCCACAAACTTTGGAAAATTCCTCACACTAGGAAAATGAACGTGCTGTATACTACACGAATATTATATAATCAACCTGCTAGCATGTGGCCAGTGAGTTTTGGAGCGACCGCAGTATATCTGTACCACAAGACCTATGCCCAGTAGGCCTACTTCTTGACGTACTCACGTTCATATCGCTAACAAGTGTAAGGGTTGAATCGATCACGATGGTGCAATAAAATGATGAAAACAGTCCAATTTCCATAACGAAGCTACAGTTTGAGTTTTAACAAACAAAGCGTTGTTAGCGTGACGTCAGATAGTCAGAGTCTTTTGGTCTGGGAACCACAGACGTCTTTATAGTGCATAATAATTTGGAATCGCACTTATGATCTGGACATAAGGAGTGCCCGGAGCATCAGTGCGATACTAAATTATCCGCAGCATTTATCACATGGCCTCGTGATTGGCCCGTCTGATGCCCGCGATATGAACTACAAAAACGGTGTCTGTGGTCGGTTTTCAACCAAAAGGCTCCGACATCACGCCAACAACCCTTCGCGCGCGTGTACGTTAAAACATTGAAATATAGTAATGGCAATAAACTCCTAACTAATATACTAATAACTTTCTGGCATGCTGTCATTTTCAGAAAACAGTAAAACAAGGCAATTTCCAATGAAACATCAAGTGAGTTGTAAGGTTTGTTCATGTAATTTGAAGAATCTGTGAATGGGTGTGTGCAAGCATTGACATGACGCACAAGCATTCACCATCGCTAACTATTATTTATTGGTTCGTTGCATGGCATCGCGTAGCTGCAATCGGCTGAATGAGAACATGTCCGGGATGCTGATTTTGGGCACAATTCAAAACGTGACTCTGCAACTTTTGAAATCGATTTGAAATCGAGATCCCAGTACATTGGGTTCTTGGAATGTACAGCAATTACTGAGCTAAAATGTTTTCAGGTTAGTTGTTAAACATCTGCAGATTTTGAGCACTTTTGTAGCGTCAAGCAAAAAAAAACTGCCTCAATGACAGGACCTCTCTTACCCTTATGACTCTACGCCCTGCCCTTTTTGAGCACCCATATACTGATTTTAAATAGACTGACACCACATTATTGCTTAACATACCTGTTCATCAGTCTGTGATGTGTAGAGGTAGGCGTGGCTCTCCCCAATCTCAGTGTTCATCTCAGCAATGGACCAATCAGCCTATGGAGGGCACAAAATATGAATGAATATTCAAAAATAGTGCTGAATGAACTGAACTGGGATGCAATAGAAGAGTAAGCTTCAATAATGTGAGTTTTGGAAATTTTGTAACAAAGCACTGCTGATGCTGAATCACTGAAAGAAATACATGTAACAAGTTTTGTTATGATGAATACAATTTAAATGAACTATGCAAGCACAGTGCTGTTGAATGCTATATATATGCATGTAAAACACCAACCGCACACTAGCTAAAAAATGTTGATAAAATATAAAGAAAGTCAAGGAAAATAAAACCCTCAACAAAACAAAACTACGTTCCAAAACTAATTACTGTCGGTTCATTTTTTACCTCTGTTTATTTGTTTATTTTTGTCAACACAACAAAATTGAGTATCCGTGGGCGTCAATCGGTGGGGGATGGGGGGACAAGTCCTCCCTCCCCACTTTTTTAAAGTCGGAGGATATCATATCATTTGTGGTCCCCCCCCCCCCGCCACTTTTTTTGTCCCCGAATTAAAATTGTTGCCAACATAATGATTCTATAGCTCACACCGATTCCCAAACGTCGACAAATGAAAAACGACGCTGCTGAGGATCCAATAAATTACAGGCCAATAACAAACTTGTCCTTCTGCTCCAAAATCTTGGAGAAAGTTGTTGCTCAACAATTGACACAATACATGTCTGATCATCAACTGAACGAGCCCTATCAATCCGCCTACCGTAGATGCCACGGGACGGAGACTGCTCTCACGTGCATCCAGAATGACATTTTACTAAGTGTTGACCAGGGCAAAGTAGCTATCCTGGTCATGCTGGATCTCAGCGCGGCTTTTGATTCACTTGATCACCAGATACTTCTTCAAAGACTTCAGTCGCATATTGGTTTGTCGGAGGATACTCTACGCTGGTTTAGATCGTACCTCTCTGACAGATCCCAAACTGTCAGAATATGCAAAGACAACAAAACAGGTTCTGCAACTTATCAGCTTAAGTACGGTGTCCCACAAGGTTCAGTATTGGGACCACTGTTGTTCAACGTGTACATGCTGCCCATGGGTCAAGTGATCCGCAAGCATGGCCTGACTTGTCACTTTTACGCGGATGACACCATGCTTTACATCTCAAAATCACCGACATCTGATGACGCTGCAGTCAATGTCAATGTCATTGAGAAATGCTGTACCGACATAAAATGGTGGATGGCCTACAACTTCTTGAAACTAAACACTGACAAGACCGAAGTTCTTGTTGTTGGCACGACTACGAACCTGAAGAAAGTTTCTGCTGTAGACATTGATATTGGAGGTCACTGTATAACATCCTCCAAACAGTTGAAAAATCTTGGGGTCATCTTTGATTGTAATTTAAACATGCAAAGTCATATTCGTGAGGTATCTCGCAATGCATATTACCATCTGCATAATATCAGTAAGATAAAACAATACCTGGATTATTCTGTCACTGAGCAGGTTATCACCATGCTAGTCATGTCTAAGATTGATTATTGCAATGCCTTGTTTGCAGGTTTACCCCAGTCCACACTTGCACCATTACAACGAGTACAAAACAGTGCTGCCAGGATTCTCACAGGAACCAGAAAATTTGAGCATATCACCCCTGTACTTATGAAACTGCATTGGCTTCCGGTGAATTATAGAATCATGTATAAAATTTGTCTCTTAGTTCATAAATGTTTAAATGGTCTAGCCCCTGACTATCTCAGTGAATTACTGCATACTACTTGTTCCATTTCACGTAGAAACACACGATTGTCATGTGATAAAACCAGACTACAGCACTGTAACACCAGATTATGCACATTTGGGGATAGAGCTTTTTCCGCCATTGCCCCTAAATTATGGAACCAGCTGAACTCGTGCCTCAGGGAAACAGAAAGTATCGATGTTTTTAAATCCGGGCTGAAAACTTATTTCTTTCGAAAGGCATTTTTATGATCTTATAGACACATGTATTTGTAGTTGTTGTGGTTTTTACTATCCCCTGAAGGTTTATTTTAGCACTTATTTTCCCATTCTTAATTTTCTTTAGGAATTAAGTTTTGGTGTATGTCTCTTTTAACAAACATTTTATTGTATATGCGGTCACAGCTGGTCTGTTTTACATTTACTTACCTTTGTAATTTAAAATATTGTATATTTCTATATTTACTTGTCATTTTTGTTTGTAATTTCATGCTGATTTTAAACTGATTTTTACATTTTTCTTGTTAATTCTAATAATTACTTTGTGTTTAAAGGGATTTTCTATATGTTACTCTGTAAGCGCCCTGGAGCATTGTTTTTTCGATGGATTGGGCGCTATATAAATCTTTGCTTATTAAATCTTTGCTTGCTTTGCTTTGCTTATTATAGCTCACAATAGCTGATGACTCCATGATGATTAGTGATGATTATTTTGCTCACAACAATTTGAAGTGGTCAGAAATTGCCTCAGATCACACCACAAAGCATCTAGAATACAACATTTTCCGGGGCCCTTAAGCGGGCTCTAGACCGCATGCCTGTTAGGGCTTCGCACTCGCATTAACTCTGTTCAAGATGTGCCCCTCCCCCTACTTTCGAGAATCAGTAAATTCCACAAGCGATAGACACCTGTGTGAGTATCCTGACTGGAAACATATCAAAGGATATTAAAACAGGTGTCATCTGCAATAACAGTCAGCTCAGAATAACTGCATCAGGTAATTGACCCTGAGGCTTCTTTATGTTTACCTTTCTGATAAACCTGTCCATAATCTTGCTAATTACAAGCTCTAGACTCTTGGATCCATTAGATGTAAAACACAGTCAGCAGGCTGTATTTGATTTCACTATAAGCACGTACCAAAGCTCTACATAAGTGGAATCTGGGGACTGCAAATATTACCAGCCCAGAACCTTTGGATCCATTTGATATAAAACACTGCATTTGATTTTACTATGAGCACGTACCACAGTGCTACGCTATCGGAATTTGGGTACTGGTACTGCAAATATTACCAGCCCAACACCTTTGAATCCATTTGATATAAAACACTGTATTTGATTTTACTATGAGCACGTACCAAAGCGCTACATAAATGGAACCAGGGACTGCCAATGAGTGTACTCAAAATCAGGTGACATGGTCCGTGTTGATACAGAGGGGCGTATACATACAGTAGATTGCCATCTTTGTTCATTTCAACCATTGCCGTAAATTACACCAGAATGGGTAGATAGCAGTGGCTCATTTCATATGTACCTGAAGGTAAGATTTTGATTTGGTGGATCTACCTGTAAGTCTGTCTGTACATTTGATATGAATCAGCAGCATCACATTATCTCATATGTCATGTACATGTAAACTCAGTATTTGCCATTTACAAGTGTATACGTACATGTATTTACTGGAAATTCAGGTGGATCCGTCAAACCTGTTAGAATACAGACATGTGGATTACATGAATCTCCTTGCATTCATGACAGAAATAAGTGACGTGCATTGTTTGTACTTACATGTAGTCTCTTACAAAATAAGTGTTAGACCTTTAAGAAGATTCGGCACAAGTGTAGCTTAGTAAATCACAAAATAATATAAAACAACAAAAAATAAACCCAATTTGAAGGTAAGCCTTTTTTTTTTTAAATTAGTGCACTTTTCTTGCAGAAAAGTGGACTTTTTTGACAAGTCTACAATTGAAATATGGGCCAGTTAAAGAACTTGAAAAATGTTTTTTTTCGGTGCAGACAATATTTGGTTGCAGACTAATGCCCACCCCGATTCAAACCACCCAGCTGACCCGGGCAAGTTCAGAGGTGGAGTGATAAGACGTCTGCACTAAACAGGAGGTACTGGGTTCGAGTCCCACCTGAGTATTAAACAGTAAGACTGGCCTATTTTAAAACAAGTGCCCTTTTGTTAAACCAGAGTGCCCTTTTGTTACCAGCGGCCTTTTAAGAGTGCCTAGCTGTTTGGAATTTCATGCGACTGTCAGCAATTGTGCCACCCAAAAAGTGCCACATATTGTCCATGATTGCACAAATTTTCAGGAAAAAATACGTTCTTACATTAAAGGGAATATACAACATTTGCAAACATCGAAAAATAAAGCTACCAAGTTTTTGCGAAATACCTTAATAGGATGTTGGTAAATGACAGTCTAAAGCATCCTGTAAAATTATGGCACCTGGTATACTGTCATTTTCAAGAAAAGTGTTATTTTTGTATCAATTTCCAACGCTGATCGGCCGATCAGCGTTGGAAACAACTGGCCTTTTTTTTCAAATACTGGCCCCAATTTACCATTGCACTTGTTTGCAATCGATTACAAACCTATGAACGGGTACGAGCCAGCTAGACTGGTTCCCTGACCTTACAATTCCCCAATGTATGTAAACTGCTCTGTTTCTTCTTATATGGAGTCAGGGAACCAGACTACAGGAAAATGATCGTTTTTCTTGGTTTTTATAGCATTTTCGAACCCAAAACCTCCAAAAATTCAGTGTAGCTATATTTGCTTTATATTTCCAAACCCCCAATTCCATCCATTTCTGAAAATTACAGCAAAAGCAAATGATGTATATTCCCTTTAAAAAGGTAACCCTATTACACATAGGCATAGCCAACAGGGGAGGGGGATTAGTAAGGGTGTTATTAATTCCCCCTCCCCCCAAAAATATTTTGTATTGACTGCCTTTTCCATTGAAATGCCCTTTTTTTCACCAGCGCTTACCCCCCCCCCCCCAATAATTGTGAAGAGTGCCATTATTTTGTTAACAAGTGCCTGTTTGACAAAAAGTCAGGCATTTTGTGTGCCAGGGGCCTTTACGAGTGCCTTTTATCTTTTTAATTTAGCGCGTGTATTGCCCTAAAAAGTGCTTTATGTTGTCCGTTAGTGTGCAACCTCGTTGGTTTTGAACAGCGCCCCCATCGTAAGATGATACCAGGCCCCCCCCCCCCCACCACGTATGGGAGAATTTTTATGGGAGGGGGGGGGGGGGTTAAACATTTCTTTTTAAGAAATGTTTAACACCCCCCCCCCCCCATAAAAATGACCACAAGTTACACATTTTGTTGTCACTAATTGCTATTTTTTTCTGGAAAAAAAATAACATCAAGTTTGAATCAAGCATGTAATAAACCTTCAATTTTATGAATACTCTACTTGACAAAAAAATTTCAACTTTGCATCTAACTTATTTCAACCAAATTATCATATTAAGTTCAAATATATGTAATTACAAACATTTTACTTAATGTGCTTCATTTGTAGATTAAAGGTCTCTCATTTCACATCAAGTGGAGATGGCATCAAATGTTACAGTGCAATCAGTGTTGGAGAAGATTTGTGTGGATCATCTGGAATGCTACATCTGCACCAACCGTTTCAGGCAGCCCAAACTGCTGGACTGTTTGCATAGTTTTTGCCTGCAATGCCTCCAAGAGCTCATACAGAGCCAAGATCCTAGTGGTACAAAGCTGATATGTCCTCTGTGCAGACGTGAAACCATGTTGAAAGGGTCTGGGGTTGCTGATCTCCCTAATAACTTTGCATTCAGTGCCCTGGTGGAGGAAGTTACAATGCAGGAAAAGCTACTGGAAGGTCAAGGGTCAGAGATCAAATGTCAAAACTGTGATGAGGAGAATCAGGCAATTTCAAGATGCATGGACTGTGCTCATTTCTTATGTCATGAATGTCAAAAGGCTCATGGGCGTATGACCCTAATGAAATCTCACAAAATACATACACTGACTGAACTTCGATCAGGAGAGATTGTCTACAAGAGTAAACTAAGAGAAGAAATTCCAAAATGCGGCAAGCATCCAGATCAGAATCTCAATGTCTACTGCAACACATGTGAGCAAGTCATATGCCTTATGTGTACTGTTCTCGATCATGGGAATCCAAAACATTCCCTCATCGGCCTATCTGAGGCTTTCGAAAAGTGTAAGAAAAAAGTTGAAGAACTTGTCTCAAAAGTTAGTAAGAGTAAAACAGAACTGAACACCACCATAGAGAAGACTTGCACAACTCGCAAGAAACTTGACATCATGTTTGCAAACACCAAAAAGAAAATATCAGAAAAAGCTGACCAAGAGGTTGCCAACATCCGACAGGAGGAGCAGAAACTATTAACAGAGACTGACAGGATTTACCAAGAGAGAATCACAACGTTTGATGCAGCTCAAGCCAATAACAGCAAAGAGGTGACACAGACAGAGCACAAGCTGGAAGAGGTGAAACAACTCATGAATCAAGCAAGTTGCTGTGAGATTCTTGAACTTCAGCAGAAGCTCTTGCATAACCTCAGTGAATTGACAGGGAAGCAGCCAGAGCAAGTCCCTGACAAGTTGACCTTCATGGACTTTGAAGAAGGTGAGAGGTCACTTGGGAGACTCATTCTGGAGGAAGAGCCAAAGGCTGCAGCAAAGCAATCACCAAGACCTGGAAGATCACGTGTGAAAGAGAAATGGGAACTGAAGACTGAATTCGAGAACTTTGGATTAATAAGACATGAATTCATAAAACATGTGGCAACCCTCTCTAACAATACAATACTTGCACTATCTAAAACAAGTCCTGGAAGTTTTTTGGCAACGTTAGCAAGAAACAGTCATCATGCACTATTCACAGTTTCAATTGCCAATAGTCATCAAGAAAGAATTCCTATTCCCAAAAGGCTACAAATGAATGGCCTCACCAATGTTGTAAGGTGTATTGCAGTGAGCAAGGATGACAAGCTCCTTGCTCTAGATGGTCCAGCAGTCAAGGTCTTCAACAAGCAACATCAGCTCCTCCATCAGTTCACACCAGGTAGAGGGTCAAACAGCCAACCAACATGCCTTGCAGTGGATGACAGCAATCTGATAGCAGTGGGTTATAAAGACCAGAAGGAGATATCTCTACACAACACAGATGGATCCCTCATCAAGAGACTGCCTGCTCCAATGATTGGAGATTATCTGACAATGTACAATCACCGCCTTATCTACACAAACTATGACAACAAAAGGTTGGTATGTGTAGACTACTATGGTGCCAGTGTATTTTCAGTAGACATGTCCAGCAACATGCAGTGGGGTGGGCACCCTACTGGCGTGTGCTGTGACAGTGATTGTAGCATCTATGTTGCTGTGTATGGATATCTAACAGTAACAGGTGATATTCTGCATTACAGTCCTGATGGCAAGTACATTGGATGTGTGATCAAGGGATGTGGTTGTCCAAAGGGCATCACAATCACATCAAATGCTGATCTGGTAGTGGCAGCAGAACAGACTATAAAGATATATCATCGTCCTTGAGGACATAATTACACCCAGAAAAAAGCCCTGCTATAGGGTCATTCCATGTCAAATCACTCCCCAAAAAAGAAAAGTAAACACCACCTCCTTCAAATTAGTTCACATTAAGTGTATGGGGTACTTTGGCAAAATAAGCTAAAATCTTAAGTTTAAGAGCCATCGGACTACGGTTTTCAGGCTACAAAAATAAAGTACTGCCCACAATTTTCTGCCACTTTAAATTTTGGTCAAAATTGGCATGGCTGCCAATTTTCAAATGACCATATCTTCATCACATGTGGACCAAGTTTGTCAATCTTGGCTTCTTTGAAAGAATACATCATAAGAAATCAAAATGTACCATTATTTTTTATTTTGGAACAATTTGAGGTATATGACAACTTGACCTTAAATCTGACCCCATACATCATGTGATGTTGAGATGAACTGGATACAAATTATAACCCAACAAGCACAGTTTCTTCAAAATATAGAAAACAAATTAGGTGTATAATACTTTTTGTTTGGGTTACCTCTTCTCAGAGTTGGTAAACTCATTGCATAATGTACTTTAAAAGCAAGGATTTTTGGTCCTAAAATGTGTACATATGTACAAAGGGTTTTTTTTTGACCGATTCTAAATCCACTTAGAAGTACATGTAATTACCACAAGATGACAAACTAATATTCTGAGAATATCAGCACACAGTCTGCAAATATATCATATCATATGATATATATCAGATATCATCTCACTGAGAAAGAAAATCCTTCAATTTTTACTCAGTTTCTCAATAGATGGGATAACTCTAAACAGCTTTCATTACGATTAAATCGTCACCGTTTTCACAAATGGGGCGAATTTCATGAAAATTGTCTGTTTTTCGAAATTTGGTTTTGGTGAAAACGAATAAATATATGAATATCTACAACCTAGTGAAGCTATAATTTCAAAAAATTTGTTAAAACCTTAATTAACCTAATTAACGAATGGGCGAATTTGCCACAAGTGCCGTTTTGCATTTCGCGAAGGGGAGAATTTCCGCACTCTATGGTATTAATACATTTTCAGTAAATAAATACATTGTAATACAATGACACGCTATCATCAAAGGGGCACATTTCAGGCGTGCGCAATAACACGTTTTCACGAAGGGGCAAATTTCAAGGGGCACACGCAGTGGGGGCAGAATCTGTGCATACTGTACAAAAAATGCATTGACTCCGACCACAAAAGGGCGAAATCTGCGCGCGCTCACGAAGGGGCGAATTTGCTAATTGGTCATTTTTTTCCCCATTTTCACGAACAGCCACTTTTCTTATTTGATTAATTCTGCAAATATTATCACCTATTTTTCTTAAAGTTTGCCACATCTTCTTTCCTCTGATACCTAAATCTTGCATATTTTATGCATCTTTAAGTTTCAAATTGTCAAATGAAAAAAGGACCAACTTTAAACGTGATTATCTTGAATGTTTGTTCAGACAGTGAAATACTAAATTTGCCTCTTCGTGAAAACGGTGTCGACATGACTGCAACTTACATTTCAAATAAGAAAGATTTCGTACCGACACAAGACAAAATTAATGATCAAGAAGCAACTGGATGAAATATTCATGTAGAATCAATTTTAAAGTTAAAAAAAAATCATATGCAGTTCCTTGGTTGTTTCTTTCACACATTTTTGTTCTGAGTGTCACATCAAATTAATGTATCATACATTAACATCTCTGTAGCAATGTCAACTATTTGTATTGAAACACAACTTGTATAAAACTTTTAGTAATACATGGATGAATGCAAATGTTGCTTAAATTAATAATAGGGTGGTATATTTGTAAATCCATATTATTCTTTTTGTGGAATGATAAGACAACAGATGACGCATTTGGATCATTCTATACATTGTACATTCGGGGTCCACTTTTTGCCTAGTCCATACATCCGTCACCTGTTATTTTGTAATTGGGGATGCAATCCTTCATAATGTATGTATTCTTCTTCCAAGAGTGCTTATGTGAAGCAAATAACCTGCCCAAACAAATACAATTGTTAGGAATTATTTTTATTTATGCCACTTGAAAGGAAAATGTTACAGGGACAGAAAAAAGTCATTAGTTGGACTCCACATGTATGCAGAATGACCAACTTGTTTTGCATCTTGAATAACTTCATGTGTTGGTATCGGGTTGCTAACTAAACCAAGTTACCTTCTCTCTTGGCCTGGTCGGCTTTGGATCAAAGTTTGAAAGAATGGAAGGAATTGCAAATACATATTATGATAAATATTCCCCTGCATGTTAGCTCACACATGAAAATGATTTTATTGTTACTGACAATTGAAGGATTCTGTTCTTATTACTTGGTTACAGTGCAGAAGAGTGCAGGAATACAATAACATGTAAACGCTGTTCAGCACAAACAGTCAATCGGAACTCATCGCATAGACTTCCATTGTTAGTTGCCAGTGCCATAATTACACGTGTACAATATTTAAATGTATGAAGCCTGTGCAATTTGCATTTTGATAAAGTTACAAATCTGCCTTTTAAAGTGTATAACTTTTGTAATCGTGCACCACACGACAAATCTGTGTACAAACACAATGTGTGTACATATACGTGTGATCAAGTAACATTTCCGTTTTGAAGAAGTGATGAACATCTTTTATGTCTCCTGATTAAACATACTTTTATTAAAAAACAGAGACAACTGTTTGGCTATTTAACTAATGGGCTATTGCATCAGTTATATTTTTCAATTTTAGGGGAGAAATGTACAGTGTGTATCAAAATAAATGGAAACAAAATATACCTGACGTAGAATGTGTAACCAACATAGATAATATTGGTATGGTTTGAAAGATACGCCTTTACACTTTAAAATGAGACATCAAACGTTCAAATCTGATACATTTTGACAGAGTTATATGGGTATTTTCCAAGAGAGGTCAAATTGACCGTGGGACCAACATTTCACTTTAAGGCATTGGGACAAAGGTAACATAACTGGCTGTGTGTGGATATTTGCCTGGCCTACAAAAAATGTCTTAAGCGAGTAATATCATATAGTAATATAGTAATATCATTATCATTTTGCTTGTTTGTTACTACGTTCTACCAAATGTAAATACTTATTCAATTTGGATCAAGGCAAAGAAATTGATGTGACTATATATAACCTTGCAGTAAGCAATTTCATTAAAAAAAGGCGACCTTGTGCGCCAGCCATGAGGTGACATGACATCATTTTATTCCGAAATCTAGACTTAGCTATTGATTGGTCAATTTTGATGCAATGTTTTTGTAACACAACAACGGGCATAGAGATCTAAAACAACCAAACTGATATTGGCTTTCAAAACTGTTATCATGCGCGAACGCTCACCGTAGGTGAAAGGCGCAAGAGGGCATTCTCCTTACGCCCGTTATTTAGAATATTTTATGATGATAATTCAAAGTCACAGGACGTTCGTGCATCGCGTAACATATCGATACAGTCTGCTTGACATACATGTAGGCTAATTTCTCTCACATAATTTACAACGTAAAAGCATAATAGATGTCATGTTTAGGTTTCATTATATGCACATGACAATGTGTTACCGAAGACTCGATATAGAAGGCGCCTGCTGAATGGTCAGAATATCGAGGTCAATATGCAGTCTTGTTTTGCATTAATTAATCGCCCAATCTGATGACGTATCATAGATCCTGTGTCTTTTGAAATGTATGAACTTACCTGTACATGGCAGTACATTGGGGAATCTGTTCTTGTTTTTGAAGACAGGTTTCTTGGCTTCCTTATAGTTGACTGCTGCTGACATTTCATTTAGCACCTGAAGTTTAAAGTAAACAAATTGACAACACATGTTACAATACTTTTTCTCTTTCTAGCTTGGACTTCATTTACAATTAACAACTGTTGACTAATGTGATGTGGGGAGGGGAGGGGGGCAGGGGGAGGGGATGGGGATGGGGGCACCTTGTCCCCAGCTCCAGCAGCTTTTTTGAAAGATATTTTGTTCAGTAACTATTTCCATAAATGGTTAGAGAGTTCTGACACAAAAAAAAGAAAAGAAACCAAGCTCCGAAACCATTACATTGAGCCGTGAAAATCGGCATTATTTTCCAGTATGCATAATAATTGTCAGTTAATAATTGTCAGTTTTGAAGAGCGCCCCCATTTGGAAAATGGATACCAGCCCCCGCTCACCCCCCCCCCCCCCCCAACTTTTGGATTTTACGGAGGCCAAGAGTTCGGGGATGTGTGAGTGCGGTTGCCCCCCCCCCCCCCCCCCTTAACATCAAAAGCTGGATACGCCACTGTGTGGGATATGACGTATTTAACACCCAAGGGCTGCATTTGGCCTCGGGTGCTATGTACATGTATGGCCAACACATTACACACTGGGGCACAGGCTGCATTTTGCAGTCCATGTGCAGTACACACATCACCCATAAGGGACTCACTTTCGATGCGAGAAACCTTTAAAAGGATTATTTACATGTTTTTGTTAACTTTGCAAGGTCGACACCAAAAGAAACAATACTTCTTTGGGAAGGATTGTTACTTTAAAAGCATTTTTGAAAAACTCCACTAAAGTCATCACAAATATCTTATATTGCGATCCCATATCAAATGTCTGAATTGTAATTATTTATGCACAGTATAGACAACTGTTTACAGTCTTCAAATAATCATGAAAATTCCTTTAGAAATGTGAAAAGGAGTATCAAGTGTATAAGATACCATACAATGCTGTATTTGGGTATAAAGATTTCAAATGGAACTGACCGGAATAACTAACTTTTAATTTTCTAAATGTTGCATTGCAATCTAGTAAGTGTCATGCATACATTTGCATATATTCCGTTTGCTACATGAATTTCATACAAATGTACAAGCACGTACATAGGCCTACACTTCAACATATTACATACAGTATGTGTTCAATTAATATTTCCGCTTCAGTGTAACACAGTGACTGGAACAGGCCCTTGGTAAATCTATTGTTACCAGAACTGGGCCTTTGAAAGGGTTCACAAAATAACAATACCTGTTGACTAGGCAATACAAGTTCAACTGTGTGACCTGTGATCCATTGCAGTCTGGTGTATTTATAGAATTGGGAATTTACAGTGAGCAATGCTACACCCTACAGACATTCAAGTCAATCCAGAGAGTGAGAATCCACCAAATAGTCCACCAGTTTCTTCATCAAACTGCCAAATTGATTGCAGAAATATCTTCTAACATCATTCAGGTATGTTTAGTTGAGAATAAGCTTGACAAATGCAACCACAATTGGCATAGGAATCAGTGCAGACATTTGACTACCAATTTGTACATCAGTTTCCTTCTCTGATGCACCATGAGCAGTGTGTTAAACCAGTCCGAAGAAGTTAACGAAAGCACAAAATGCAGCAAGCTGAATTTATGCAAACCTACTAACTAGGGTATCAGCGGATTAGTCCTATTTTTCAGTTTATAAATATGTAAACAACTTTTTTGGACTACACATTCACTGATCTTTTCCTATTTTTAATTTCTCTGCCAAAAGAACAAAAGAATCAATGTTTGACCAATTTTCAATTTTTATATATTTCTGCCAAACGTGATATAATAGCACTGATGAAAAAAAAGTATGAAATTGACCATTAACAGCATCACCACACAGCCTGAAAAGCGCCAGTTTCTCGATAAAAAGTTTCTTCAGCCACACATTATCAGTGTTTTGCCAGAGATACAGCAGGCATAAGTGGCTAGCAATACGGCACAAAACTGTGCCTGGTGGAGTGGATATTGTGCATTTATCCTGATCGCAACCCGTTCAAGATCAGACAACTTTTGTATATGTTTCTCTTCATATTTCTTAGTTCAAAAATAGACATTTTCTTTTTGAATTTTGTGCCCCAGAGGATTTTTTTTTAGAAGAAACTTGAGTTGGAATTTCACTATCAAGATTGATTCTGCCAGTTTTGTTACTTATCAATGCTTATTACAAGAATATCGTCATTTGAAGTTTGAATACTCAAAAACCTTTTATCTAATGTGCTTCATTTTCAGGTTAAAGATATATCTACCCCGTTCACATTTAACCAAACAGTCAAGATGGCATCTAATGTTACAGCGCAATCAGTGTTGGAGAAGATTAGTGTGGATCATCTGGAATGCTCCATCTGCACCAACCGTTTCAGGCAGCCCAAACTGCTGGACTGTTTGCATAGTTTTTGCCTGCAATGCCTTCAAGAGCTGAGACAGAGCCAAGATCCTAGTGCTACAAAGCTGACATGTCCTCTGTGCAGGTGTGAAACCATGTTGAAAGGGTCTGGGGTTGCTGATCTCACTAATAACTTTGCATTCAGTGCCCTGGTGGAGGAAGTTACAATGCAGGAAAAGCTACTGGAAGGTCAAGGGTCAGAGATCAAATGTCAAAACTGTAAAGAGGAGAATCAGGCAATTTCAAGATGCATGGACTGTGATCATTTCCTCTGTCAAGAATGCCAAAAGGCTCATGAACGTATGACTGTCATCAATTTGCACAAAATCTATACACTGGCTCAACTTCGATCAGGAGAGATTGCCTACAAGAGTAAACTCAGAGAAGAAGTTCCAAAATGTGGCAAGCATCCAGATCAGAATCTCAATGTCTACTGTGACACATGTGAGCAAGTCATATGTCTCATGTGTACTGTTCTTGATCATGGGAATCCAAAACATTCCCTCATTGGCCTATCTGAGGCTTTTGAAAAGTGTCAGAAAAAAGTTGAAGAACTTGTCTCAAACGTTAGTAAGAGCAAAACAGAACTGAACACCACCATAGAAAAGACTTGCACAAACCGCAAGAAACTCGAAGTCATGTTTGCAAACACCAAGAAGAAAATCTCAGAAAAGGCTGACCAAGAGGTTGCCAAGATCCGACAGGAGGAGCAGAAACTGTTAAAAGAGACTGACAGGATTTACCAAGAGAGAATCACAACGTTTGATGCAGCTCAAACCAATAACAGCAAAGAGGTGACACAGACAGAGCAAAAGCTGGAAGACGTGAAACAACTCATGAATCAAGCAAGCTGCTATGAGATTCTTGAACTTCAGCAGAAGCTCTCGCATAACCTCAGTGTACTGACAGGGAAACAGCCACAGCAAGTTCCTGACAAGTTGACCTTCATGGACTTTGAGGAAGGTGAGAGGTCACTTGGGAGACTCATTCTGGAGGAAGAGCCAAAGGCTGCAGCAAAGCAATCACCAAGACCTGGAAGATCATGTGTGAAGGAGAAATGGGAACTAAAGACTGAAATCAAGAACTTTGAATTAAGTGCATCATCACCCATATCACTTATTGCAGTACCCTCTAACAATAAAATACTTGCACTATCCAAAACGATTCTTGGAAATAGTGGAACACTATTCACATTATCACTGACCAATAGTCAACATGGACCACCTCCTATTCCACAAAGGCTACAAATCAATGGCCTCACTGATGATATAAGGTGTATTGCAGTGAGCAAGGATGACAACCTCCGAGTTATAAATGGTCCAGTAGTCAAGGTCTTCAACAAGCAACATCAGCTCCTCCATCAGTTCACACCAGGTAGAGGGTCAGACAGCCAACCAACATGCCTTGCAGTGGATGACAGCAATCTGATAGCAGTGGGTTATGGTGGCAAGAATGAGATATCTCTACACAACCCAGATGGATCCCTCATCAGGAGACTGCCTGCTCTAATGATTGGAGATGATCTGACAATGCACAATCACCACGTAATCTACACAAACTGGCTTAACAAATGGTTGGTATGTGTAGGCTACTATGGTGCCAGTGTATTCTCAGTAGACATGACCAGCAACATGCAGAGGGGTGGGCACCCTAAAGGTGTGTGCTGTGACAGTGATGGCAGCATCTATGTTGCTGAGTGGGGATATCCAACAGGTGATATTCTACATTACAGTCCTGATGGCAAGTACATTGGATGTGTGATCAAGGAATGTGATGATCCAAGTGGCATCACATTCACATCGCATGGTGATCTGGTAGTGGCTGCAGGACAGTCTGTACAGATCTATCACCGACTGTAAGGACAGATTAATTAAACTGGGGCTATCCAGTGTATCCAGTGTATCCACCAACCACTTCCATCAGACATTAAACATTGTTATCACTGACAAAAAACTTGAAAGTTCATTCCCTCAAAAAACATTCTACAATACTGCATATTTGGTTTATTGCTAAGGTCTTTGGTCTCTGTATGTGTTGACTTTAATAGCTCAACCACTTCCCCTTTGGAAAACCTTGGATTTCAACACCCAGCCTACTTCCTGTAAAATCTTAGATCTGGTGGCCCAAAAATGAGAGCAAAGGAATGACCCTTCACATTGTTTGCAAATAGGGCTGAGTGCACATTTTAAAATATTACAAATGAGAGGAAAGTATTACCACAAGAGGGCAATTCAATTTTCACAGATCCATGGCGGCAAATGCAAAGTCAATGCATGATGTGCTTACCAAGTATAAGATATAACCCTATTCCTGTATGAAATGTAAACATTTCCTTAATATTGTTATTCGATTTTTCAATTATTGGGGAAATTGTTGAGTTTAGATGAATGCAACTTACATGTATGTTCGAATGAGAAAGATTTGGCACCTCTGTGTACATGAGACAAGTACATTACTTAAGAGCAACTGAATGAAATATGTGTGATATTGAACTCAAACGATAGTTTAAAAAGTAAATCATATGTAATCACTTGGTTGTCTCTTTCACAGTGCTTTCTGAGTGCCTCATCAAATTAATATTAGTTTCATTACATTTACAACCATGTTGAAAATGAAAACCTTGTGCATTCTACTGCAATGATACATGGATGTTTGTAAATGTGGTTAGTATGATGGATGTACATTTGTAAATTGAAATTGTTTGCCTTAGAAGTTCTCAAATGTGATTTTTTTAAATACTACAATAGAAGATGAATTTCGAACATTTTATGAATTTGGGGTCCAGTTTTTCCTGTCCCTGTGCATCTGACATCTACGATTTTGTAATAGAAGATGCACTCCTTTATGTGTGTACTCTTCCTTCAAGAATGCTTCTGTGAATCAAATGACCTACCCAACAAATATTAATTAGTTTGAAGTCATTTTTAATGCCACTTGAATGGCAAATTATACATTTCAGAGTTTACAGGGACAGGAAAAATGTCAGACTTTGGACCCTAAATGTATAGATTGACCTACTTGTGAGAGGTTCCGTATCATTACAATAATAGTTTAGTTTATTCCATAAATGATTGAGGCTTTGCTTCTTTGAATAAGTACTGGTTTGCTAAATGCTGATAGACCAAGTAGTCTAAATGAACTTGAAGCAATGAGCATTTGCTTTCATTACAGAATATTTCTCCAAGAGAACGCAGCTTCCATGACAACAATGGCATTTCAGCAAAGATCCATTTAAGTCTGTTATTTTACCAATCAGCATCTCACATACATTTCAGCTGCATTTTCCACTGGGCATGTGTGACTCCTAGGGTTATTTGCATACATAATGAGGGCTGCCTGTTTTACACCGATGATGTAACTCAAAAATATATATTTGTATTTTATCATTTATAGACCACTTAATTTGGAAGCCGTTATTATTGTATCACTAGTTAGTTCATTCACTGTATATTTTGTCAAAGGCCTTTTCAAAAACGTTTTCTGAGAACATAGCAACAATGATTTTATGAAACAACCCACTTTTCTCATTTGTCAGTTGTTTACATTTAGGACCATTTTGTTTTTCGACAAAAGCATAACATCAGTGGCTTCCCCAACATTTATACTTGTACATAATGGTAGAGGGGATTATCAAGTAATCAGATTTGTGAAAACATTTTCTCTTGTTTTTTTTTTATCTCCTGATTGACCGCATTTGAATATTGTCCAAATGCTCTCAAAATATGTTGAGTATGTAACTATGATCTTAGAAAATTAGTCAAAAAAAACAAACAAACACTACAACAACACTGTTTACGGTCAGCTTTGAAAATTGCTCATTTTTATCAAAACAAAAAAAAAATGTAGTAAAGAGAAATCTTTTGTATGTTAAAGATCACCTTATGGGGTTTTATGTTGAGTATTTTATTGTCCTGTGAAAACTTTAAATGTCTAGAAACCTTAAGCGAAAAAGTGACACATGAATGATCAAAATTAACCACTTTACAAGGGAAAAATTTAAACATGGAATTGTTTTGGTAATCCTGATCTTTAGGACCCCGTTCCATATAAGAGAACGAAGAAGACACTTTATGTTTCCGGACTTACCTCAACATTTTACGATGATACAAGCAGGAAAAGTCACTCTGTGTGCTGAAAATCATCTACATAGTTCGCTAAAATACCATGTTGAATATGAACAAGCTTAATTTGTGGAAAGAGGGCAGGGTTTTGATTTATGAGGGAAATTATGGGGTAAAACGGCAACGAAGACTGCCCGCACGAGACGAAAGAAACAAAATGGCGACCAATGCCACTAATGATTCTGATTGGCTAATTTTTGCGAGGGAAAAATTGCTTGGACTGTGACCAATTCACCTGTACTAGCGTACAGATACTGACTGTAGCAAAGGGGGTGAGTCCACAACTGGGAACAGCAGCCTCGCTATCGCGCACTCATCACAGCAGACGTCAAAGTGGAACGCGACAGTTACGGCACATTTCTCATGTTTTCGACTGCCAAAAAAGGTAGGAAAGTCACCTTTTCTGTGTAAAAGTGTTTCAAAATTACAAACAAACATGAGTTTATCTGTAGAAACACGACTGCTTTAGTCTGGGAGAGTAATTTTGGTACTGAAAAGTCAATTCCAAAAGTTAGTTTCCAACGGAGCTCGTAATGTAAATAGAGGTGTCCTAAAGATAAGGATTACCATTGTTTTTCCAAACTGAATGTCTAGCAAAAGCATTTTTAGGGCATGCTTATACAAAAAATATTGAAAGTAAATATTTCTTTAAATTATGGGCGTAAAGACAGTTACACTTGACATCTAAAAGTGAAAGAACTGATATTGTATGGTTGCCGAGGGTGCAGTCAAGTACCCACACACCTATAGATAACTTATAAATATCACACATTCTATGGGAGTGAAACGTACGGGATCTGGAACTTCCTAAAGGTACCAGCGGCGTAACTAGGGTTAAGCTTCTAGGGGGCACCTGGGGGTTCACCAATTTTTTGGAAGGGGGGGGGGCAAGGAAGGTTACATATACATTTGTTGCATGTAATTCAAGATTTCAAATGGAGTGGGGGGGGGGGGGAGAGACACGTGGCCCATAGTTACACCTTTGAAAGGTACACAGAAATATGGAATTCTAACATCATATCAGGTTTAACAGTCCCTTACATATTTACAATTAAAACTAGTTACGAACCAATAAATGGTTTGAAAGGTATCAACCCCCTTTAATTGTCTTATATTGCAGGCCACTCTTTTTTTAATAAATTGAAATACAAAATGATTTTGTTGGAAATGAAGCCTTAACACTAGTCTAAGTCTCACCCGTTGTATCACCCTCTCTGTCTCTGGTCCAACGTCGGATATATCTACACATTCAAATTGATGCGACCCTGCGCGCCAGCCAATTAATCAGAGTCGACATGACGCCATTTCAATCTGAAATCTGATGATGCCATGTTTTTGTAATGCAACAACGGACATCTAGATCCAATAAAACCCGACATTGGCTTTCAAAGCTGTTGCATATATAGGCTATGCGAACGTTCATTATGGACAAGATGTGAATGCACAAGAGTGCATTGTCGTCACGAGTCTTATTTAAAATACTATGTGGTAATCATTCAAAGTCAAAGGATGTTTGCGCATCACGTAAACATATTGATACAGGCCGCTTCACACAAGCTTTTTTTTCTACCACAATTCACAAGGTAAAAGCGTAATAGATTATTATATGTGCATGATAAGGATAACGGAAGACCCCATATAGAAGGTGCTCGCTGAATGGTCAGAATCAAGAGGTCAAGACACAGTCTTGTTTTTCATAATTAATCGCAGAATCTACTCGCATATAGACCCTTGCTGCAGTGTTGGAGCACTCGTACTCGAACTCGAACTCGAGTACAACTCGAGTATCAATAAAAATACTTGGCCCATACTCGATCATAAGTACTCGAAAAAAGTACTCGGCACGTACTCATAATTTTGGACTCGTCCCATAACTTGACAAACTGTACTTGGTGAACTCAATCCAAGTCGCGCAGTACTCGAAATAAAATTCGGGTTTTTTTTCGATACTAATTTTTCGATACTACACTTTGACCAAAAAAATCACAGAGTGTACATGGATATGAAAATGATAAGTATTGCGCTGTATTCTTTATCGACTCTAAATCAAGCATTCGTGAATGGGTATTGGCAGCGCTCACAGTATCACTGGTGCACATTTTTTACTGTCCTATTCCTACTGAATACTACAAGAATACCAGCAAAATAAATCGCAACCTTCTTTCCATGGGCTGCATGTACGATCATTACACGAGGCATTTTCTAACTAACATTCTCTGGCGCATAGCGGTGAGTTCGATCCAGACGTAGACATGTCTTTTTCGTCAGAAATTATATCTTAGGGGTATAGAGATCACAAGGAATGTTTCGCTAACGGACAGAAGCAGCACAGCACGGTATGCAAGTCATGTGGGCTGCAGATTTCGGAGAAGTCTGGAACAACTTCCAACTTCGATAAGCATCTTCGACGCAATGAATCAAGAATTCCAAGCAAAAACAACACTTTTTAATATGTGTATGTGTTAATTTCTTGGAATACTGGGTAATTACTTAACATCTCACATGTATGTAAAGGCGCTGAATTTCATAATGCTTTAGTTTAAAAATGTACTCGGGGTGTACTCGATATCTTTGTACTCGTATTCGGCCCATACTCGTCACTGTGTGTACTCGGAAAACTTGGTACTCGAGTTTTGGTACTCGACTACAACACTGCCTTGCTGTGTACAGGGATATTACATAGACTACCTTAGCACCAATCCCCCTACAATTAAGAACAATTCACAATGCAGTGTGAG